CCTGTGCCCCGGCAGCGGGGCCGGCTGACGGCCAGGCTCTCTGCCATGGGCTCTCTGCTTGGCTCTGCAGATCTGCCTGGGAGCCGAGGCCGGGGACGAGCTGCACGTGGTGGCCGTTGACTCGAAAAACACTTCTGGAGACAACAAGCCGGTGCCCATCGCGGCGCTGCGGACCTCGGTGCTCCCCATGGTGAGGGCAAACCCCCGGCATGCAGCCCCTGGCCGCAGGGTGATGGTTTCACCCCAGGAACCTCGTCTCTGGGCTGTGGGTGAGGCTCCGGGCAACGCTGGGTCTTCTTCTCGCTCTGGCCGTGTCCATCCGACGGTCTGCAAACCCCTCCGTGGGGCAGAGGAGCTGCTCGCCCTGTGACAGAGCCGCAGGGGTTAACGTGGGCTGCTGGTCTGGGGGGGCTCTGAGCTCTGACTCTTTGCAGATCAGCCTCAAAGGTCTGGAGCTGCTCCCTCCCGTCACCTTCGTGCTCAAGTGTGGAGCTGGACCGGTCTATCTCAGCGGGCAGCATGTCACCCGTGAGTGCCACCGAGCTGTGGGGGCTGGGGGCTGCGCTGGGGACGGTCCCGTGGTGGCTGCGGTGGCAGGGCTGCTTCGCCCCGGGGATGGGGGGTTGCTGGTCTCCTTGTTTGCATTCGTGGGCTCGACACGGTGGTCGGTGCCGGCTCTCCGCGCTGCTTTGCCATGGGGTGGGGTGGTGTCCGTGTTCCCACTCCCAGCGTGGGGGGGGATCGCCGGCTGTGTCCGCAGCTGGGGGGTTTCACCTCCCCCCGGCGGGGCCGGGGCACCCCCCCGCCCTGCGTCTCCCCCCTTCTCAGTGGAAGACGATGCCAGGTCCGAAGCCCACGAGGAAGAGATCTCAGAGGAAGACACAGGGGATGAGGATGATGCTAGAGCATCGTAGAGTAGCTGCAGCTTGGAGAAGACTTTGTGGCTCTGGGAGTAGGGCTGGCGGGATGGGGATGGACGCCCTGCGCCGGGATGATCCTTGAAGGGGGTGGAGGCTTGCCGGGGACACAAACTGGGCTCTGGACTTCATCCCTTTTCTCCTCCCTGCCCCCTCCATTCCTCCCATGCTCCCAGAAATGCTCCTTTTGCCTCTTTTTATTGCAATAACACTGGGTAAGTGCAAATACACGGTCTGGTCAGTGCTCTGGTGCTCCTGCGCTATCGCCTGCTGCCCTGTCCCTGCTGCCTCCGGCTGCTCCCAGCAGCCTCTCAGGAAAACTCATTCCACGGGTGTGATCACCGTGATGCTGTGGGTCGTGCTGCGAACCCGTGGGTCTGAGGGGCTGGGGATTGCAGCGAGCAGCCCCTGGGGAGATCCTGACCACTGCCAGGGTGGGGGGCTCGGGGGCTCTCCAGCCCCGGTGTGTCACCGTGCTCCGAAATGGACACACAAGCTCAGCCCACCTGCTGGAGGAGGACTGCTCGGAGGCCGAGGCGCTCGTGCCCCCCTGCGCAGCCCCGGCACTGATTCTCCAGCCAGCTCCCTTCTAATGGGCCTTTTGTTCCGGCAGGAATGGCTCTGACCCCACCAGCGCCCGTTCGGATCAACGGGACAAAGTCGTGGTGCTGTTTGCGCGGCAGCCCCGGGAAACGCAGCCAAAAGCTGCCCAGAACAAGCAGCCGCTGAAATAATATAATTAAAACTCCTAATTGTGAAAATTGCCCAAATCCATTGCGAGTGTGCTGTTGCCTGGCAGGGAGGCTGACTTTAAAGGGGAGCCCTGAATCCGCAGGCAGGGTGGGCTGGAAGGGAGCACGCAGGTCTCTCTTTATTTTCCCCACTTAAAATAGAAAAAGCCAGCGAGAGGAGCTGATGGGAGCGCGGAGGGATGATTGCTGTCGTCACGCTGTAATGGCCTGGGAGAGGCCAGAGATGGGCCTGGGTGAAGCCAGTGGCCAGCCCTGATGGGCTGCAGCCTGGGCCCACGTCAGCCGCCGGCGGGGGCCGTGGCCG